CTTTTCTCTGTCCCTTCATTACTAGTGGGATGGGAGCGCACATGGCTTGGGAGGGCTCTGTAGACTTGAGTGAGAGATTTCCCCTTAAAGGCAGCAGCTTCTCGATGAGTACTCTTATGAAAAATATCAAATGACGGTTGGCTTGAGCTCTGAAAATGAAAATATCTACAGCTTTTTGTTTGTGAGAGGGTGGGGAGAGGAAGGAACTGAAGCTCCTCTGTGGCTGGGCTGTGGTTAGACTTTACCGTATCTGCTGCCAGGTGCTTGGGTGTAGCCTTCTGGCAGGATAGATCTTCCACTCCTCTTGAGTTTGCTTGAAGATGTGAAAAAGTAATGGCAGAGAAGGGAAATGGTCTCTCACAGGAATTGTAGGTAAGCGTGCCAGCACTGTGGGTCATGGCCCCACGCTGCACTGGCCTCTTGCCCTGCTTGAGGCCAAACGATCGCTGAAGAACTGGGTTCATGTCCAACCTGTAAATAGCAAGGCTACGGAAGATGAGTGAGGATTGTCCAGAACAAACTCAAGAGATACATTAAAGCTCAGCCAAGTCCTGTCTGCTTGTGTGATGACCACTTTGGTGACGTTCATGAGTGGAAGGAGCGACTGCTCTGTCTACACCAAACTGTTTACTGGTACTGCAGTGAGGGAGACATCCAAAGGAGCTGGAAACGGCTGGGGAAAATCTTGAACCAGGTTCAAAATAAGCAAATAGAAGTCACTGAAATTATGTTTATGGGAAAGATTGAGGTGGAGGTGAGCAATGTGCTTGGAGGTGAGATAGACCTCTTCTGCCTCTTCTGGCAGATCCTCCCTTCAGCTCAGCATCTTTGTAGATGAGCTGGACATGTATCCAGCAGTGCTGTTTGCTTGTGCTGCTCTGCAGGTGTCTGTCCATCTCCAGACTTGTCTCCATTTGTCTCAGTTTGCTCTGGCTGTAGACATGTCTGGTTGTGCCCATGTTCCCATGTGTGTACATCCACCCTTGGGCTTCATATTTGCCTGCACACATGTGGGCCATGTCCTGGCTTGAAGGGGAGTTCTTCATTGCTCCAGGGTTATCACCACCTTAAAATATTAAGTGGTTATGTGGAGTAGCCCATCACAACGTTTAAAGACTTGCACTGTAATTGAAATGCCACCTGCTGAAATACCCAAGACACTCATGGATGTCCTGGATCCTTCAGTTGCTGTTGTTGCCTGCTCTGGGATGGTCATGGTACACGCAGATCTGCTGGATACAGCCATGGGCTTTTCACAGCAAGACCTCCTCTTTAATTCCAGTGTCTGAGGCAAGCAAAGCTGGGTGATCAATGGTGATGGTCCCTGATGGTGATGATGGAGAGGGTGGTGGTGCCTCCTGCATTAGCAGCAGGGTGGTGGCAGCTCTCCCAGGCTGTTCCTGTGATCCGTGTTTAAAAAGGAGGAGAACTTGGGCTGTTTTTTGATGTTTGCAAGCTCAGAGCAATTTTAGCATCACACTGATGTGGCTGTAACCAGCCTCGTGTGGGAAGTGTGAAATGGGTGGGTTAAAGCAGTGTCCCCACTGAGCTTGGCTGTTTCACTTGGGATTGCTGAGGTCTGAAGAGCTTTGAGTGTCATCTCCACGTGTGCAGGTGAGCATGGTGGGAGAAGGTTCACATGGCTGAGTGGGTGGTGAGGACCCAGGTCCTAGGGTGGAGCAGGGGTTATTTGCTCCAGGCACCCTGGTGGGCACCTTCCCATCCCAAGGGGATGCTCCGGCACTATGAGTGCTCTGCAGAATCATGTGTAGGGCTTCTGGAAATATGGAAAGAGTAGGACTGTAAGCTTATTATCAGCATGAACATTTAATTTTAGTTTTGAACAAATGAATTAAGTGACTGTAAATAGTTAGAGCAGTGTTACTTGGCAGTGTGTGACCACAACTTGTCATGTCATGGTTTTAATCTTATTTTTCAAGAACAGAGGGAGCAATGGTTTTCTAACTGACTGGAGCCAAATCTGCGCTCATGTCTGTGTCTCTTCCATATCTCTCTGGGGTTTTGTTTGTACAATATTGTAGTGAATGTAGCGAACATATGGGGCTTAAGTTCGTTTAATAGTTGCAAGAAAATGAGTTTAAGGTTCTTATAGTATTAAGGTAGACATTTCCAAATTCGTTTTTAATGGAACATTTGTTCTCCAAAGATTATACGCGCCATTAAGTCCTCTGTTGCCTGGTTTGTTCTTGTGCCCTGAGATATTATTGCCGAGGGATATAAACATGTTTATGGGGCCACTTTATGGAACAATGAGATTAAATACACTAAACTTGCAAATGTCAGTAGGAGCATGAGCGCTTTGTCATAAATCTTGTGCGAGAACATTAGGACGTAAATGTCGTGCCACCGCGTAAAACTGGTGTAAATCAAGTTGCAACCAGCTGAAAACTTTTCTCACCAGCACAGCAGCTGTGAGTACTGGGCTTTATCAGCATTAAATACGTAGATGGGAGCAGGTAGTATATGGGTTTTTCATTTCCTGGGAGGACTAGATGTGCCACACCAGGGTCATAAAACAGCAAATGATGTTTTAATGCTTCTGTATGACTGACGTGTGTGGGAGTGGGTGTGGGCAAGGCTCCCACCCAGCCATAACACTTTGTATCGCCACAGGGCAGCACTGCTGGAGGGGCTGGATCTGCTTTTTTTAATCTAAAATGGGCAGCATTTTATTTTTATATATATGTCTATATATAGACATATATATAAAATAAATGCGCAGCATTATCTATATATCTGTCACGCAACCCAGGGGAAAAAAATTCCCTGAATATGAGGGTAGAAGAAGCTTTGAGATAACGACTTATCTGCTGAGATAATGACTTATGCACTGAGAAATATTTGTATATTTATACAGATGTAGAATGGGCAGCACCAGACCTGCTCGTCCCCCTTTGCGTTGCTGTCGTTGCCTTGGTGCACAAGCCTTACTGTAGAGCTTTTTGAACCCTCAAGTCAGGGATGATTTATTTTTTTTCCCTAGGTTGAGTGATAAAATTAAGCATTGGCTGCATAAACTTAGTGTTTTGCTGGTTTTATGCCAACACGAGTTGAATTTGCTGGTTTAAAGGACCTGACTCCAAACCTGAGTTGGGTTTTGGGCTTCTGACCATCGTGGGTATGTGATATCTGAAGGTGCAGGGCTTAGCTGACGGCACGATCTGGGCCGCGTGTCCTTCCAGCTTAGGTGGATACAGAGGCATCGAGGGAGAGGAATTTATCTTCATCTGAGTCATGAGAGGAGTTAACAAGACCAGGCTTAATTCATTCCTGCTGCCGTGTTGAAATGTGATGAGCGATAGCATATATTTCTGTGCCTCAGATAATTAGCCCCATCATAAATCTCAGTAGCATATTCATAGCCTTTTCTTGTTCCTTAAAGCTGGGGAACATTTTCTTTGTCTTGGGCTTATTTTGAATAATGAAGAAAACCTGGGGGTTTTTTTTATTTGGTTTTGTTTTTGTTTTTCTCCTCTCTCCTGAAACTCTCTGTATTTAAAACCATGCTTAGTTTGGTTTTTGGGGGCTGCATCCCCTGTGCTGGGCTGGTGGGCTGAGCTTTTATGGTAGGAGAAACCCCAACCTTTGCATCTCCATGTGAGGTAATACGTGTACATCGCTGTAAATCAGCTGGGGAGGGAGGTTGGATGGTTGCAGTGGGAGGAGGGGAAGGGGGTACAAAATGCAGTTTGTACTTCAGTGTTTCTGCTATATGAGAAACTGCTACATCTATATGAAGCTGCGTGGGTTTTTATATGTGTATGTGTATATAAGCATATCTATATCATATACAGAGATATATAGAAGAATGTATACATACACATATAAAAATATCTAAATCATAGATATAGATGTGTATATATGTATATGTACACACATATATAAAATATCTGTATCATAGAGATATATAAAAATATGTACCATGTATCTGTGTATATATACACATGTATAAAAAAGGAGATACTAATATTTATCAAGCTGTATAGTTTATATATAAAAAGAGATATCAATATATCTGTATCAGGCTATATATTTTATATATGTATATATCTATTTGGCTGCAGTGATGGAGATGGGCTGGCTTATAAGGAAACTTGAGATGTCATTACATCTCTGGAAAAAATGAGTTTCTCTTTGCAGCTCACCTGCACCAACAGTTCATGTGGTGGTTTGAAACAAGGTTGATTAACTATTAGGGCTTTATTTGAAGGTTTAATTCATGACCTCTGAGTAGATGCAAGGATGAGCGTGCTGTTTGCATTGTTGCCATAACTAAAGGGTGGAAACCCTCATCATCTTGAACCAACGTGTCTGAAGGGCTTTTCAGGGGGAGGCTCTGCCTTTTCGTTCTTCAGATCCCATAGCAGATCTTCCATTCACCCAACACTCACCTGGTGCAGAGTCTCTCATCCCAAACTGAGTCATCCCACCAGTCTGCACTGGAAACAAACGGCTCTGCGCGCGATTGTAGCTGCTGTAGGTTCTCTGTTATGGAAATATTCATCATTATAGAGATGCTTTGGTGACTCAACTCTTAATCCAGCTCCTGTTCAAAGTGGTGGCTGCGATGCAGGCGTACAGGCAAGCGTGTTGCCATCTCCCCTGCTCCTGCAGCTGTGGGGTGGCTGAGGACCAGGGTTTTTCCTGCGCTGAAGAGTACAGGAAATTTTATGGTTAAATTCACATGGTTAATTTTAGGGTGTATGTGCCTCAATTGGAACAACCTATGGATTGGTTACCCCTTCCTTACAGCAGGTGTTGAGCACGTTATGGGTGCTGCTTGTCTGCAGAGCTCCTTGCAGCCTGGACTCATGAGAAGTCTTTAATAAAAATAATGATAAAAAGCGCAAACAAAGGCCACCCAAAGCAAAGCAAAGCATGGCTATTTGGAGGTGGGAAAAGCTTTGCCAAAGCTTACATCTGCAACATTGGGAGGCTGCAGACCCCTGTGCCTCACCTGTAACATTTCTGCCCCACAGGCATCGACATCTTGAAGCTGGTGGCAGCCCAGGTGGGGAGCCAGTGGAAGGACATCTACCAGTTCCTGTGCAATGCCAGCGAGCGTGAGGTGGCGGCTTTCTCCAACGGCTACGCGGCCGACCACGAGCGCGCCTATGCCGCCTTGCAGCACTGGACCATCCGTGGGCCCGAGGCCAGCCTGGCCCAGCTCATCAGTGCCCTCCGCCAGCACCGCCGCAACGACGTGGTGGAGAAGATCCGAGGTCTGATGGAGGACAACACGCCGGTAATGATGGACTAGGCTTTGCATGCTCATATGATGTGTTGCACGTCTTGTCTGGCCATGGCAACCATGTGGGTGGATGGGAACTGGGTGTGGCCTCAAGTTTAGCAAATAACTAAGTAGCTGGACTCCATCAACCCCCAGAGCTCCTCAAGGGCTTATATCCAAGCCTTACGTTGCTTTTGAGCAAAGCTTTGCCAAAGTTTGCTTAAAACCTTATCGGAGTTTTGATAAGCTCTTGGGTCCCGTGTGTTGTGGTTTGCACGTGTCTTTGAAGGTCACCAAGAAAACTTTGTGTTTGGAGAGGCAGAGGAAAAATCCTCCCTCTTTCAACTTGTTCTTAAATGCTGTTACTAAATCTCCAGGAATTTGTAGAAGGGCCGAGCATCCTTGAGCACTAAATGTTCTAGAGCAGCGAATCACTTCCTCAGAGTGGTGACTTGGTAATATGAAGGTCCATGTGTGTTGTCCTCCAGAGTTGTTTCCCTTCTGCGGCAGCTCTGGCCTTAAAACAAACAGTCCTGTATCTTGGGAGAATAAATAAATTGCTGCAGAATATCCTACAGCAGGGTCTGAGCTGGGTGTAAGTCATCAGAAGATGCCTTGGTGACCTTTGCGGTTTGTTTTGGCCACTTCTGCCTTACCTGTCAGTGTCCTTTCGGTGTTTTGGCTCTGATAATTCAGTGGTCTTCTGGAAGTGTTCATAAAGTTGATGGATGGGACTTCTTCTGAATGTGGAAGCCAATGGGACAACACATGGATGGAGATGGGGGTAGTTGAAAGAGGGCTCTTCCCCCTAAACCAGTTGGTGAAATGTCTTCCATTGACCTTGGCAGTGACCCAGACCTGAAGGGGAATGGGTGAGTGCCTACAAACCTCCATGGGCACTTGGTGTGGGGTCCTGGCGAGGTGGACCTTCATGTATAGCAAAGATTGTGGGCAGAGTATTTGTCAGGGCAGTGGAATCACAAATCCCACTTTGACTATTCCGAGCTTCCCCCTGTGAGAGGAACTGTGGTCCCTTCACCATGATGCGTATCCAACGTGATGTTGTTTAGTGTGCTGAACATCTTGGTCCCTCATAACCACAGTGTGAAATCATGGGTTTCAATGCATTAGCAGAAGTCCTGGGTTTGTGTTTTTGAGAGACCCCAAGTCAGGTGTGTGCCAAGCATTGCCCCATGTGTCCTGCCCAAATTTTGGATAGGTTCACTTTGCCAGCCACCCAGTTGCTCCTGCTCCTGTTCAGTTGCTGTTTTCTTCCTTCCAGCTCCTGGTCCTTAAGCAGCATTTCTCATTTCCTACCATACTCCAAGATATTCTTTTTTTATATCAGGGATGGAAAAAAATGAAATAAAAAGCCGGAGATAAAGTTATAGTTGGGAAAAGAAGAGTCATTTCCTACCATACTCCAAGATATTCTTTTCTTTATATCAAAGATGGAAAAAAACAAAATAAAAAGCCTGAGATAAAGTTAGAGTTGGGAAAAGAAGAGAAGCAGAGAAAATAATGATTTTGCACAAGTGAATTAAAGTTTCCACTATGTGCAATGTCCAAGAAGGACACATTCTCCTCTTGTTCTCCTGGAGCAGGTAGTAACTTCTGTCCTCCTAGTTACTGCTTTGACTTTGAATACTACAGCAAAGCGCTGGGCTAGGACATCAGATAAAACATGGGGCTTGTTCATCAGCACAACACCTAACGAACAGGTGTGGGTTGTGCAGTGCTCCGTTCTCCTGAGCGTTGTGCTGTTTTGGCCAAGACTTCTCAAATAGCACAAAAATGCAAGTGATGATAGCTTCAAGAATGGGGTTTGGCAACCCATCGGGATGGTGGACTCCCAACGATGGAGTGAACACAAGCGATTTCCTTGTGTGTGCCCATAACTCTGAAAATCTAGTGAGCAGATGCTCCAGAGCAAATCTCATGGATACTTGTAGGCAAGTCTTCTTTTGGGCTTCCCGACCAGCTCTCCTGGAGGATGTTTCTCTGGTTTTATTTAAACAGTGTGTTGTGTTCCCCAGTGTCCAGCAGAACCTGGAGCCTGGTGGTCTCCTGTGGCTCTCACTTACTTTCTTAGAAATCGGTAAAATTGGTTTGCTGATCTTTTCAAAATGTGGCTCAGGTGCGTCCGCTTGAGAAACAGGGCTTGGTAGAGCAGAGGAGGTGTTCTTAAAAATTCACCTGAGCTGACACATTCTCCTCCTCTGGGCTTTTTTGAATGAGTATCCCTCATGATCAGCATTTGGTGTTGGCCATTCCTGTGCAGTCCCTCTGCCCTGAAGGTCCTCAACCAGTCGCTGAAGCAACATGAGGGATGATGAAGCTCATAAGCACCTCGGGGTGCAGATTCATCATGGCAGCATGCTGTGTTTCTGGGAGGTATGACCTGCTGTAACCTGTCTACCTCCTCTCCTTGGATTGTCTCCCATGCTGTGGATGCGGGTGGTGATGGAGTGGCCCTGGAAGGGATGCAGAAAGCTGTGGGAAGCAGTTTGTGGAAGGGAAAATGAAGCCCTGGAGCCTCGTGCCGGTGGCTGACCTGTATCGCAGCGATCTAGAGACCATGAGCAGCCAGGGGAGCCGATTGCTCAGTGCCAGGGGTGGGTGTTGAGGTTGTTTTGTTTGGGGTTCTTTTAATCTGTGCTGCTTGGAAAGTCTTTAATTAGAGCTAATCTAAGTTTGGCTCTCGATAGTTTGTCTGTCCAAATGCAGACAGATCGAGATGGTTTCTCTCCATACAGAACCAGTTTGATCTGAAGGAGCAGGTCACCCCGTTGGTGGCAGAGGTGGGGGTGCTGCACTGCACCTCTCCAGCAACTGACCCAGCAGAAATTGGTCTTGCAAAGAAAAAACAAATAAAAAATAATAAAAAGAGAAATTTTTTGTGTATGCTGTGAAGGAACTGAGGAATCTCATAATTGTACCCTCAGCAAGTTTGCTGGTGACACTGAACTGGGAGGAATGGCTGGTACACTGGAAGGCTGTGCTGCCATTCAGCAAGATCTGGACACAGTGGAGAGTTGGGCAGAGAGGAACCTGATGAAGTTCAATAAGGGCAAGTGTAGGGTCCTGCACCTGGGGAGGAATAACCCCGGGCGCCAGGACAGGTTGAGGGTTGACCTGCTGGAAAGCAGCCCTACAGAGAAGGACCTGGGAGTCCTGGTGGATGACCAATTGACCATGAGCCAACAATTTGTCCTTGTGGCCAAGAAGGCCAATGGTCTCCTGGGGTGTATTAAGAAGAGCATGACCAGCAGGTCAAGGGAGGTTCTTCTTCCCCTCTGCTCTGCCCTGGTGAGGCCACATCTGGAGTACTGCGTCCAGTTCTGGGCTCCCCAGTTCAAGAGAGACAGGGAACTTAAGCGGAGGCTACAAAGATGATAAAGGGCTGGAGCATCTTTCTTCTGAGAAAAGACTGAGAGAGCTGAGTTTGTTTAGCCTGAAGAAGAGAAGACTGAGAGAGGATCTTCTCACTGTTGCAGAGAGGTTGTGGAGTCTCCTTCTCTGGAGATGTTCAAAACCCACCTGGATACAGTCCTGTGCAACCTGCTCTAGATGAACCTGCTTTGGCAGGGAGGTTGGACTAGGTGATCTCCAGAGGTCCCTTCCAACCCCTTGTGATAAGCAGTGTAAACACGTGTCCTTCCCTGTGGCTAACAGCATGATGCCCTTGAGGCAACCTAAGCCACAGCAAGCTTCCAACACATGCTGGTGTGTCCTAGGTGAGCCTGGGAGGGATGCAGGATTGGCTGTGTCATCTGTGATGCCTTTGGCCCTTGCTCAGCATCCCTGGGTGCAAATGGGCATCTCCCATCTCTCCCCATGTACCATAAGAAAGCACTGACACCCCCATCTCGTAGGTAGAAATAGTGTTACTGGGTGACATAGCTCTCAGACAGCAAATTGGCACCCTAAACCCAGCCAGCCTCCCTTTGCCATCCCATCCTTGTCCCAAATCCTTTATCTAGTCTATTGTCTGTTGTCCAAGTCTTTCATGTTGCCTGAATTAATCAACATTTAAATTCATCTTACTACAAGTAAATACTTAATAAGGAGGGAAAAATGCACATCATGGGAGGTTCTGTTCATTTCAACTACACAATTTTGGAGTTTGGTTTATAGCTTTGGGTTTTTGAAGTAGATTTCCATGGAGGTTTTGTTGGGTTTTTTTGTTCAGTTGCTTTTTTCCTGTTGTGGAAAGAAAACAAAAATTCAGTAGAGATCTGCTTTGGATCTGAAATTTTGTAAGACGACAATATTTTGGAATTTTTCAGTTTTGACTCATGCAAATTACCATGCTGTTATGTGCCCTGATTCCTGTGTGAAATCTCAAGATACATCTCAGGACTTCCAAAAAGCAAATGTCTTCCCCAAAGGTCAAAACAAAATGCAATAAATAAAACTGTTGAGATTTAAGGCTGTGAAACCTGCGGAGGCAAAACTACCCTCTCCTCTGGTGCCCCATTCCCCCGGCAGCCTTTCGGGCTCCAAAACCCAAATATTGGTTGTGGAGTCTCCTTCTCTGGAGACATTCAAGACCCACCTGGATGCCTTCCTGTGTGATCTCATTTAGGTTCCTGCTCCAGCAGGGATATTGGACTGGATGATCTTTCGAGGTCCCTTCCAATCCCCAACATTCTGTGATTCTGTGATTTACAACCCTTGATAGGAACAGGGGAACTAACAGGAGCCTTTGGAGTGCTACAGCACATGGCAGGAACGTTTTCCTTCGAGGAGGCAGCAGCTCTGCTGAAGGCTCCCCGGCTTTTTTAGCTGCAGGAGATTATGCTGGGTTTGCATCGCGCTGAATGAATTCAGGTTAAAACGCGATTAGCCCTCTGAATCGCCCTCTGAATCGCTTTGCTGGGGGTTTGGTTTGTTGTTTGTTTTTTTTTTACAGCTGATCCAGAACATACGGCAAGTGCAGCAGCTGTGGGGTGTTTTTTTTGGGGTGTATTTAACTCACGGGGTTCCTGTTGAAGGTTGGCCACAGCCATGAACACCTCTCCCGCTCGAGGTTTGCAAAATCTCTCCCCTTGCAGGCAGGCTGGCCGGGCAGCGGGTTGCGAGCTCAGGCGCTGCTGGGCGAGCACAGGCACACCCCAAATTACTGATGCTGGCAACAACAAAAATAGGGGGTGGAGGGGGGAGAGAGGGAGAGTTTTTTTCACTTCCATCCCAGCAAATTAGAATCATGGAATGGTTTGGGTTGGAAGGGACCTTAAAGATCATCTAGTTCCAACCCCCCTGCCATCAGCAGGGACACCTTCTGCTAGACCAGGTTGCTGAAAGCCTCATCCAACCTGGCCTTCAACATTGCAATTCCATAAAATTGCAATTCTCCATTTTGGGGTGAAAAGCAGAAGAGTTCAGTGTGGTGCAGGCACTGGGTAATGGGGTTTTTTTTGGGGTGCATAACAGCATTTTGCAGATATCGAAGGGGTGTTTGTGCCCACCCAGGCTGGCCTGAGGTGTTGTTGGCATGACTGGCCGTCTTTGCTACTGTAGTGTCCTACTGTGAGCAATGCTTTCAGCTCTTATCTTTTTATTTATGGGTCTGCTGGCCTCGGCTGAAATATTTCAGGGAATAGATGAAGGAGAAGCAAACAGCCTTGTTCAGGGTGTTCAGCAGTGCAGCCTCAGCAAAGCTTAAAAAAAAATAATTAATAAGTTGAACATGGAGAGAAGGAGGCTGCAGCCCCAAGCCCGAGGAGATTTAGGTCCGTGGCTAATTACATGTGGCAGATAATCCCATGAATCAGCAGATATGTCAGGGCTGGGTCTGATGTGAGGTAAAGCCGTGGGGTTTTTGGGGGTTGCCAGAGGAGAAGAGGATGTGAAAGCAGCCCCATGTCCAGGCACGTGGCTGTGGCAGTGTCTTTTGCCTCCTTTTCTTCCTCTTTTGCAGGTCAAAACCCTGGGGTGGGTTGAGAGCCTGGAGCAGTGTTCCCCAAATCCAGCCCCCAACAGTTCCTGCCCATCCCTTTCATTTCTTCTTTTGGCAAAGCAGAACTGGGCTGGACCCAGTAATTAGCAATTAGCTTTGTGCTACGTTAACCTCACACGTGGGTGGCAGAGCAAGGGTGAAGCTGTTGGGTGGATTTCCCAACCTGGGGCCTGTGGTCCGAGGGCTGGGAAATGCCCAGGCAGCCAGGAAAAAAACAGAATTGCACGTAATTTTTCCTTCTGGACTTGCATCAGGTTTTATTTAAGGCACAAAGCTGTGGAATAAAGTGGCAAGAGCCCTGTGGAAGGGGTAGGTCTGGTTGGGTTTTGCTGGAGTGGGCATCACTGTTTTTCTCCAGGTTTGCTCTAAACCATGAGTTGGTTTTTGGCAAACCAAGGATGAGTTTGAACCAGGCTGGAGAACATGCAATAAACAAAAATGTAATAATTTATAAAGTATTACAAACATAAATAATATAAACACAAACATATAGGCTTTATAGTAGATGTGATTATGGTTGAGATTTCCTTGCTGTGATAGCCACATCTCCATGTGTCTGTGTATTTGCAGTATATTGGGCTCAGGAGCATAAGTGAAACTAGAAGATGATGGGGTCAGAACAAACTGAACTTGGTATTGACTTAATCAGCCTGTAGTTGAGTTTGGAAACTCATCATCACAACTTCATCAACTCTTCATTGTGGCTTGAGTTGAAAAAGTGGAAGTTCCTGGTGGCTTCTCCATAGGAAAGAGAAGCCACCAGGAGCTCTCATGGAGACACCATCTCCTGCTTGGAGAAGCACTTGGCTCACAAATGGCTGGGGCTGGTGGAGATGAGTTGTTTCATCCATGGATAGCTGTGTTTTGGTCCTGGAGTCTAAACCCTCCCCAGACCTGAAACTGCCCATTCTGGGTTGTGTGAGGCTTGACTTGAGTAGCTCTTCTCCAGAGCTACTCTTGTGTTGAGGGATGCCAGCTCCACCACAGAGGTGGTGTCATGTTCTTCTGAAACCTGTCCAGTGAGGTGAAGGACATGGGCTGAGCAGGGTGCTGAGCACCTTTGTGCCCTTCCCATCCTGGCAAAGGGCTTGCCTTCTGCTCTGTAGCACATGCAGGCCATCACTGCATCTCTCTTCCACCTCAATGAGACCTCATGGCCCAGGCAGTCATGTTTCATCTTCCAAGATCTGGTACACTCTGAAGGTGGACCCCCAAAACACCACATGTGCCATGAAGCTGCTCATCCATGTGGATCCTCCCTGCACCTGTGGGGACAATAGTGAGAGCATCCCTTGCTGATACCACCCTGCACCCACCCACGGCATTGGCCACGCAGGGGTTTCTCCCACTGCATCCCCTCCGGAGGTGTACGAGACCTGGGACTAGGGCTGGTGTCAGCTGGGCGCCATCTTTCAGGGAATCTGGGAAATTATGGCCTCAGCACTAAATTTATCCCCAGTCCCAAGAGGGTGTACAGCCACCCACTGTGGATGTTGCTTCTCTGAACCCAGCTCCCTGCTGAATTTTCCCTTTTTTTTTAGAGAAAAAAAAAACCAAAACCCAAACAAAACAGCAGTTGTTTGAGTTGTGTTTGTGTTGGGACAAGAAAACCCAACCCAAGCAGGGTTGCTATGGCCTCAGCACTAAATTTATCCCCAGTCCCAAGAGGGTGTACAGCCACCCACTGTGGATGTTGCTTCTCTGAACCCAGCTCCCTGCTGAATTTTCCCTTTTTTTTTAGAGAAAAAAAAAACCAAAACCCAAACAAAACAGCAGTTGTTTGAGTTGTGTTTGTGTTGGGACAAGAAAACCCAACCCAAGCAGGGTTGCTCAAAGCTGGGCTGATG